AATGGATTACATAAAAAGGGAGCAGAAATAACATCCAATATTCATGCCCCCTGAGCTTGACTGTGTCCAATCCGTTTGGCCCATAAAACCTTAGCCCCATTTCCATATCCGCTGTGGGTCACAACAGGTCTGCCGCACAAAGGCTCACAGAACAGCTCGACTCAGGAAAAGGGCAGTAAAAATCGGGTGGATTTCTGAACCCTTATGAAACAGCCACCCTTTGGAAAAAAACGTGAAAAAAGCCCTTTTCCGATTTCAGCGGCTGTGAAAAACCTGGTACTGTATTTCCCTCTTTAATTGTCCCACTTGAGAAATTGACGTGCCTCTGAAACATGGCATGAATCTCACAGTTATTGCAGTCCCCTTGGCAGGGAATGTTGATACAACATCTGCATGCTATAGAAAGTAATGGAAGTAGCAGAGGTGGCAGCTGCAACTCTACAGGAAGTGTGCCATTTTCAGGCAGCGCTGCTGTGAGAACCACTAACTGCCAGCCTGGTCTTGCAGGCAGCTCTGATTGCCAGGACACTATGACAAACACGCAGGGGCTGGGAGTGTTGCATCCTGGGGGATGACAGCTTCTGTTTGATTGTCAATAAGGCTCATTAGCAGAAAAAATGGAGAATGTGAAAAGAGATTAAATGACTTGAGACAGGGTCCCCCTCATGTTTCATTACAGAGGATTTATCAGAGCCTTTATTTCATCAATTGAACCAAAAAAAAGGAAAAAAAGGAAAGAATATCACTCACTTCTTCCCTCCGAAAAAAAAAGCAGCGAGTAGTTAAATTTATATTGACAAAAATTTGGTCATTTCAGATATTGTAACAGACTCGACGAATGCTAATGAAGCCCTTCCGCACCTTACATAAACCTCTTTCCTCCTGCTCTGAGCGCCTCTCATCTTAAGAACAGTGGCGGATGTTTCCCTCCATCTTAGGGAGGAACGGCCAACAAAGCAGCGTGTAAGGGCCTTTCCCTGAAGAGTCCTTGTCACGCCGCGCCAAACCTCTGTGATTATCGTTGTTTTTGCAGAGAGTGTCCATGCCTGCCAATACCGCTGTTCCATAAATGAATTTGGCCCCTCGTCAACGAATTACCTAACACGCAGAACTGTGTATGTGTCACATCCAATTCCAACTCACCGGCTTTGGTGGTGTGTGTCAGCTGGAGGACTTAATCATCAATCGTCAATCATAATAAGCGAAGCACATTGATAGGGATTCTTTTTTCCCGCAACTACACAGTTAAATAAAAGTGTAAAGGGAGAAGTTAAAGCTGACCTTGTTAAATTGGGACCGCGATTTATATTCCTAATTTAGTGTATGGATTAATTAGTCTTGGCAAGTGTGTGTATATCAGTTTTCATGTGGCACAGCTTAGAGTTATATCTACTTGATCAAATCATTGCTCGCTTTCATAGGAAAGTCTGGAATGATATCTATCAGTCTTATCTTGATGTTTTTACTCAGAACAGGCTTTGCATATTTTTTCGTGGCATACTTTTAATTAATACTTAATCGGACAGTTTTTAAAAAGGACTTTTTCAGCATTAGTCGCTAATCAATACCCCCCATCTCACATCATACAAATTTAATCACTGTGACCTGTTATAAGGCCTTAACGCAGCCACACATGCGTCCACGTGTTACATGCAAACTGGCAACGCGGGTTTTTCTCATAAGTCGAGGAATCTGGCTCATATTTTCCCTCTCGCTGATCCAATGCACTCCTCTCCCTCGTCATATAGATCGGAGTCTGCAGGGGCCAGAGGCGCTGACAGAGCCCAGATGCTCCCAGTCTGTCTGGGGGACTGGGGAGACTGGTGCCATGGGGTCCTGGAGCCTCTGAAGTGCCGCCCCCTCCGTCAACATGACCAAGGCTAGACCTGCACTTTCTCCAGGCTGAGACACTCTCCTTACCACTCTGACAGCCACCCGGCACAGTCACAGATTGATACATAGAGGGATACACGCTCACAGGCCCCCGCTCTCACGTAATGTATGGCCGTTCATCAGCCGTTCCTAATTAGAGACCCCCAGACCGACGCTCGAGTTCACGAGGTTACGATGACATGCTGATACAAGGTTACAAACGCGCGCGCACTCGCATGCTGATACCGCTCAGGGTTTCTTTTACGTTCTCATTTAATCCGGCTCCATCTCATCAACACTGTTTTAAACTTGCTCGTGTTGAGAGGAGTCTCTTTGTTCTAAAGAAACGAGAAAGAAAGAAAAAAAAATAGACGGCACACCATACGAATCCTCTGTCCCCTCGCTTTCTCTCTCAAAACACAAAGATCATTACAAGAGCATCAAAGTATGCCATGTTTGAAACGATATTTCTCTTTGTAGTCGTGGCATAGCATGGAGTGTGTTGGTATTAGATGCTGCTGTGGCAGCTGTCGTGGCTGGCTGTGTGGTGCCTCGGTGTCAGGGCCTCTGAGGCCAGGCTGTCCCGGCAGACAGACAGAGGGGGAGGAAACCTGATAGTGCAGCCAAGCCCCAGTCTAATGTCTGTCTATCCAGCTATCTATCCCTGCGTCTATCTCTGACTCACTGTTGGACATTGCCTATCTGCATGCCGGATACTCCTTCTGTGTTCCCAGGAACAGAGCGCGGCTGGCAGCTGAGTTACACGTTCCAAAAAGTCTTACTTTTATTCATTTTAAACATACAAACTTCTCTGGAAGGATAAAAGCAGCTGTTTATCGATCACCGAAGCGGCTGCAGAATTAACTTGCGCAGAGTCCCCACTAAGCTTGCGCCTCGTACCAAGGGGTGCAGGTTGCGATAACATTAGAATTATGAGCCGACATGTATGAAGAGAAGGAGATGGAAGCACAGAGTGTGTTTGTATTTGATGTGGGGGCAGAAAATTGTTCTATAATGAGGAGGGGTGCCAGGATATGAGATGGGAAGTAGGGAGTTGGAGACAGGATATAAGTTATGAGAGGGAAACTAATGTTAGGAAATGCAGAGGCTGTTGTTGTTGTGGTGCTATAAGCCAAAACGTACCTTACCACTATTGGCCATGATTAATACAGCCCGGCCAGGTCAAAACCCCGCGCTACCGCTACGGATGCCACCAACCATATCCTCGCTCTTTCTGGGGCTCAAATGAGTGTGTGTCGTATGTGAGGGAGAGAGTGTGTGTGAGGGGGTTAATAAATGTTGAATCAAACGCCGCACGAGACACTCACACTCCTTAAGGGTTGCCCATTAGCGGTGTGTGGGTGCATGGGGAGTTTATCAGTGTCTGGGTGATTTATGAAGTCAGACTCAATATCATCCACTTCACCCACACACATATGGACATACACATGTGCGCACACCAACATGCAAGGCCACATGCTCGCGCACACATGCACTTATATAGTCTTTCTCTATGAAATGGAGGCAGATATTAGGCCAAAATTAAAGGTTTCACAGAGATTAACAGTGCGGATGATGAGATCGTCTCAGCGTCTTTTAATCTAATTCCTTTTTATCTCTGAGCCAGCGTGATGTGGAAGCGGTATGCAAGGTGAAAGCACAACAACAAAACAATACAGACGTAATAATAACAACACTGTTACCGATAAATGCTAAAATATCTCAAGAGTGTAAAACTGGACAAAATAAAAGGTGCGAATTATTTTTAGGAGACTCCTTAGGTACCTCCGCAAATTACACAGCCAATTACTGGCAGCATGTCAGAAGCTTTGATGCTGGACTTGTTTTTTAACATCAACCACAGCACTCTACAGACATCAGTATCTCTGGTTGCTAAATTCATAGCATTCCATAGAATTTACTTAGCCACAAGCAAAAAAAGGAGGGTGCTTACAGTGCACTTCAGAGTGCGCCTGGCTTAAATGGGACCCCTTGTGGCTGTGTCACAGCTCCCTTCGTTAGGGGGCTGACTGTAGCCTGTAGTCACCACAGGCATCATTAGCCCTCTGTGAAACCACAGACTGAGTCTCATTCTTCATCTGCCTGTCTGCTGCCTCAACATTTACGCTGCGATGGTGCTCCAATGGCAGAGTAAGTGAGTCCAGCAGCACGGCAAGACAGCCACACGGAGCTGATCGGATAAGAAATTCAAAAATGCAGCAAAGTTCAAATGTATTCAGTGAGAGGGCCACTTGAATTGGTTCTGCAAAGGTTAGAGCTGAGGTTATTTTTGGAGGGTGGATTATTAGGCTACCTGGGCTGAACAGAAGAGGAATAACTATGGGCAAGTAAGGGTCACTCTGGAGTTTCACCAGACAGTGAGGAGAATCACGAATTTAAGTGGAAAAGGATAAACTGTCACTGTTACAAATATCACTGCGAGAAAACGCCGAAAATAAAACTAAAGGGCAAATTCAATTAAAGTAACAGATTTTTCTAAATGCACCTCCGCTGCTGCTGCCCTCTCCATATGGTGTTTTTTTTTAAGAAGGAAAAAAGATATCCCAAAGGGGTGAAATAATGTTGTGGTGAAATTTGTATTTTTTTAAAGAAAGGATATAAACATTTAAATTACAGTTTAAACGCTCAGGATGAATTCAAGGTTGAAATGTTGATTTCTGTTTCCCGTTCTGTACTGCCCTCTAATGGAAAACACCCCTCAGAAATAAAAAAGAAGGAGCTGTGACATACAGAGCAGCAGCAAGGAGAGAGACGTACAGCATAATTAATCATGAGCTGAACTGAGTGAATGCTACATGAAATCACTTTTTAAATTAAACGCAATTAAAATGATGAAAAGACGGGATTTTGTCAGTTTGAGACAGATTTATTTAAACATGTCTAACGCAACAAAAGTACAGTATAAAATGCATAGGACAACTCTCCACTCGAGGTGGATTATAAGGCGAGAGCAAACAATGAGATCTAAATGAAGACAAAACAAATGCCTCACTACAAAGCTTTGTAGCCGTAAAATTCAGAGCCTTTATCACTGGATGTTGAACAAAGCATTCACTTGGCAGGAAATTAAAAAACCAACGAGAGGTACAAAGACTAATTCTGCTTAGGAAAAAAAATAACAACAACAACAATGCAAGAGACATATTTTTAAGGGAATAATAATTCTTTAGAAAAACCATTCCAAGCACTATCTGGCAAACGCAACGGAGACCCACGGGAGCATATGTTTGTAATTCCTACTGTTCTCTGTTTAAGTTATTTTTGTACATTCTAATTCTGCAACAACTCTGTATCACATTAACTATGCAGCATCTCTATTCTTAGATTTAAAAAAAAAAAAGGATTATAAACTGAATATTTACAAGTTACTCCAGTTGTTCCACGGTGTGTGCCAAGCAAGGAAAACTTTATGGCCCTGTTTTGTGTTCTGAAAAGAAAAGAAAAAAAAGAGACAAGAATAACAATAAAAAAAAACCCTGGCCTTGTGAGTGTGTATATATATGTGTGTGTGCGTGTGTGCACTGACTGAAGGACAGTTGGGCTCTGTCATGCTTTAGCCTTCCCCTCCCTGCCTCTCATGGGTGAGCAGCCATTGTTTGAGATGGTTGCCCTTGCCGCTCATGTACGGCCCACTCTGTCCACTGCTAGAAATGACTCTGTGACAAGGAATGAGGAGAGGAACCTGGCACAGACAGAGAGAGAGACGGGGATTTAATAAACATGTGCAATTTTACAAATATTAGAATTTGTAGGACCAAGTCCCACTTTTAAAATGTGTTTTTTTTAATAAAAAGTAACTACTTTATTTTTACATTTGGTCAGAATTATGGGGAAAAAAGGACATTTTTCACTAAACTTTAGAAATTTAAATACCTAAAAGCTATGATGTGGAGGAACAAAAAGTAATATATGAGTAAGACAGGAACGCAGATTAGACCGCTGGAAAAAAATCAAATACTTATTCTCAGGTTGACATTTATTGTCACAGCACCACAATAGTTGCAAGTGCTGATAGTAGATATGTATTATGTATGAAAGAATCTCTGATTTAACACATAAACGATGTGACTTAAAAGTAACCAACGTGCAGGAAATATGAACTGCTTTTGTTTTTGTAGCACTTTTTATATTCATGCACTGCATGAAAACAAAGTGCCACACCAGAAGTGTCTGGTTTGATCCTGCACAAATCCACATTCAGGGTGATGGCTCAGTCTTTGGGTATAAATGTTTTTTACTCTTTAATAGTGAAAAGCAAAGAAGCAATCAAAAATTAATGGGCAAAAACACCAGCAGGATGAATATTCAATCGAGAGGGTGTCAACATTAAGATCTGATAACCCTGTGATCATTAAAAAGAGGAAGTCGGTGGAGCGTTTACTCTTGTTGCAGACGACTGCCAGGGGGGTCCCGAGTTCTTTGTAAACTAAATGGCTGGAGAAAGATTAAACAAGCAAGCCTAAAACACTTCGATCATTGTGAATTCAGAACAAGAAGAGTGGCAATGGTTGGGAATGAATCACAGCAATTATTTCTTTTAAAATATTCTTAATGTTGCCCTCATTTTGTTCTTGTTATACTAACCGGAAAGGCAACACAACCGTCGCTGCATTGCGACTGTATTTCTCCAATGTAAATGTGTTAGGCTGACGTGACGGTTGCACCTCCAGCCTTTTATATGAAAGCTGAACATTCACCGTGTTTCTCTTCAATCCATCATTAAACCCACTCCCATATCAACAGCAATAAAACTTTCCGAGCCCCAGATTAACCTTGCAGACAGAGAAATACTGCTCGAGTATTCAGATCAATACTGTTCCCCGGGTTTGGAGGGAGAGCAGGGTACCCTCAAGGCCTTCGGATCTGCCTCTTCACTTGGGGGGGAAAAGAGCACTACACCAGGCTTATCAATACTCAAATCCTGGTGAAGAAGAAGTGCCACAGAGAGGGGAGGATCGATTGAGCACACTGAGCTTTTCACAGCTGAAGCCTGAGTGGAGCAGTGCTACTGACAAGTAATTGACACTGACAATCTGACTCTGGATCTGAATCAGGAGCTGATGGCTCAGGCTCCCAGCCTCCTGGACGAGAGGAAAGAAATGTCTGTAAAACATACTGATGCCAAATCGGAGCGGTATTATACAGCCATCTAGCAGCAATGCCACTGGCTAATGCAATGTAAAAAGTATACAGAGAATCCAGAGGACACTATTAATTAGTTTATCTACATTTTATTCTGTGTTATAAATTGAGCGCTCTCATTATAAATAACTTTTTGTCCCCACCCAACATCAATTACAACATGCTGGGAGACCCAGCACTAAGACGAGGATGCACACAAGCACATATGAGGGAGAACATCTCACTGGCTGCACTGCTGCTGTACAAGAAGTGCTCTCTGCCTCACAGAGCACACCGGTGGTGCCCACAGCACTACATGGGCAGAGTTAAACAGGCTTTGATCAAAGGGTTTGATCAAAAGAAGACACACCACTTGCCCTCTAGCCCTCCATTTTGTACACAGTGGATTCATGGGCAAAATGATGCGGGCCAGGTTTCTTACAAGAAGCGGAGATTTGCAGCGAACATCTACAGTAAAGACTTGAGAGAACAGGAACAAAAGGTGTGGGCTTAAAATCGTGCTGTAGGTAGACTTTCCCTCCTCAGCTGTGCTCAGAGGGAGGTGTTTATTTCGCCATCGCACGTACTCGAACACGCCTACAGTTTAGATTACATATCATGCATCGGGGAAAACTTTTTAAAATGCATTTTACTGGAAAACTTCAGTCGTGCACACGAGTTAGGAAACTAGGAGAGACAATACCTCACCAGGAAATGACCTCAAATGTGATCTTTGCCTATTTTATGTATTCTGTCATTTTTTTCATGCATTTGTACAAAATGAATTACTACCCAATAAATATTATAGTTCACAGCAATCTGCTTCCACGTATTAATACAACATATAAACTAAGAATAATTTAAAATTACTTTTCTGTTAAAGGGCAAATTCACCGAAAAACTGATCATAATTAATCTTGCATGTGTTAAATATTGAAGTCGCTAATAAAGTTAAAAAAAAAAAAATACAAACCGTTACTTTACCTGTCTGACTAAATAAAGTAAGCAAGACAGAAGCCTGTCAATCAATGTCAACCATACTCACCGGATTCTTCCTCATAGCCCCTCCCACCGCCCGCACCGCTCTGGGGTTTCCCGCCATCTCGGCGAGGCGTTTGTATGAAACCGTCTTTCCGAACGTCACATCTCTCAGAAGTACCTGCAGCACGCGGCTGGTGAATGAATCTTTGCCAGAAAGCAAGAGGACGGAAGAGTGACAGAAAGACGGGAAAGGAGAAGGGGGGAAGAGAGAGTTCCTCATTTAATCAATCAAACTCAAACAGCCAGCCGAGAGGCTGATAACATGAAGGAACTTTAAACATGTGTTATATTTTTTAAACTCTCTGCTGTTTTTAATTAAAAAGCCAACGTTTGACTCATTAATGCATTTTCACCTACTGGTGAACACTATAATGTCCATCCTGGCTCCCTACAATTCCATCTTTTTTCTTCTTTCCATCTTTACACTGCTCATTATGCACCTAAACACAGAGAAGTCCCTCAATTTGACCTTAGAACTAGTATTAACATGCTACAGAAGCTGACGTGAGAAAATTATTCCTATGGCAGAAAAATCTAGGTTATGCTTTGAAAGGTCACAGCTAAAATTAAAAAAGTTCGCTCCTTCATTTAAAAGGATTAAGAGAGGCCAAAAAGACTGCAAATCTGCTCCAGATTTTTAATAATAATAATTTGAATGTTGCACACCATTTGTGGCAGCGGGATGACTTTGAGGTTAATCAGACCAATTTGTCCTTTTAATTGCTTTCTATTCAGAGTAGATTCATTATATCATCTTCACTTAAATGGCAGAATTCTTCAAATCATCCACAGCTTAACCAACCACATTAACGGCTTTGATTTCATTAGCACTTTAGCAGTAGCATTATCTTTTCTTCTTTTTTTTTCTGGATTACCAGGCGGTGACTGAGAGGCATGTTTGTCTAGCTCTGATTGCTGAAGAAAAGTATTTGAGGCATCTCAAAAACCTTAAGACGCCGATGCACCGAGGTTGTGCAGAAAGCACAAAACACTCTTTTTCTGCACTGAGAACAAGATGAGGAACAATGGTCTCGTTATCAAGAGGGGGTGAATTTCTTCTAGTATATACATGTACTCAGTCATGAAAATTCAATTAGTGATCTCCCATTCTCTCTCATTTATATGGTCTAAGAGAGCACATGACAAGTGATCTATGTGAAATCCTTCTAAATTGGCATTGTGTGAAAACATGTCACACCCCTGTCTCTCTTCTACAGAGTGAACATCCTTTGCTCCCCAGGCTCCCTCGCTACCTTATAGTCACTCTCTGCTACACAAAGCCACGCGAACAAGGCAATTTGCCTAAACTGGGGGGAATAAGTGTAAAACCTAAAGGGGATACATTTGATTGATGCACACCCATGTGAGTTCTTTGTCTTGAACAAGGCCCGTAGGTACTGTTTAATAATTTTTCAGGTAATAATCACACTGTCAACGAGATGACGGGCTCTTATGCAGACAGACTTAATGTTATGAGGAGATGAGATACACCCCTGAAATTCCTTTCATGCATTACTCTCCCTCATAAAGCTCGGATTTGGCCACATGATGTGTGTGATACATAAGGATTTCGCTTTTGTCACCGGCAGGGTAGATGACAACTTGCCCAGACTGCAGCTACGACAAATCCACAGTGATGCAAACGTTATTGACAAACAACCAAAGTCACACCGGCAGACGCAGACGAGAACTTTTGCCTACAAACAGACCGAGCAACAAGCTATGGCGCTGTGTACACCTTTGACTAATCCCGAGCAGCTGTTTCTCCTGGAAGCTTTCACATCTCCTACAGTTCTGGACAAAAAGTGTCTGTACTTTTATCTGCAGGGCACAAAGGTTAAAGAACTTTGCCCTCATCAGTGGCTGTGACAGAGACTTCAGGCAGGTCACTCGAGGGGACCAGCAATGACTTGGAGAGCAGTCCCCTAGCCCCATACTTCATAAAGAGCCTAATACGGTGTGTCTGGGGTCAGGACCCTCTTTAGATCGAGGAGCACTGGTGTCAATTGTTTAAATAAAAGTTGAGAGGAACCACTTACATGTTTACAGACATCCCCATAATTATGTCACAGGTCATTACCTGCCATGAGGCCAGGTGACAGAGCCACTGCGGCTGCGATGGATTTACCCGGAGTAAAATCGAACACGTTCGGCAGTTATGATGGTATTGACATATATGATTGATTTGCTCATAATTCTGTGTATGGGAGCAATTTGAAAGCCAAAAAAGGAAAACAATAAACTGAAATCCATCAGCCCTGCTAATGATAGATTTGGAGAGACGACTTCCAGCTGACAGTCACCTCGTACATGGTGGTGAGAATAAAAAGACAATAGTGGAAATGCAGCTACCTCATTATCCTTTGTGTCTAATGGGAGGGAAGACTTTGACTCCCAGTCAAAGTGTCTCTTGAGTCTTGAGGGATCCATACTTTTGAAGGCTGACGGGGTGCTGATGATTCTCTGATTATTCGATATTCTGAAAACGTTCATTTCCCTAATTCCTCTCCACATCACAGGGGCGAGTCCTGGTGAGTGTCTCATCTCGCCCTGCGCTGTGCACAGGGGGAGGTTCAGACTCCTGCAGGAACACAGTCATTTGGGCTTTGAAGAGCGCCCTTCCCCCCCTTTGCACGGCCCCCTCCCCGCACATTCCCCGCGCCGCTTACCGAGACTAAGATCCTCTCGTCTGTTACATATGGATGTATAATTAATGAGATAAGAATATGCATCGTTTTAAGAACCCACGTTGGTGTCTGTGTTTTTCTGAGGCAGCCAGCGCACATACACAGGCGCAAACACAAGCTAACTGAGCATAACGCACGCGAGCGCTCGCCATTCCCTTACCCCCGCCGACCAAACTTGCGTGTGATGTTGTGCATGACAATCAGTCGAGACGGTATAGAAAACTGCACCTTGCATCTCCTTTCATGTCACCTCTGTTTCTCAGGTATATCGTGACAGCTAATATGAAAAGTGGCTTGTTTTGTCAGAAATGTGTAAATAAACATGGCAACACTTCAAGTGAAGGTCACAACTCAATATTACATGACAAGTGCTGCGAGAGCGCTGTTGCGCTCAGGTTCTCCCACAAGATAACTGAGCAAACAAAAGTTGGTTGTCACAGATTGTAATGACCTGATTAAACTTGTATCTTTTTTTTTTCCCAGGCAGGCAGAGGCTGCACGACTAGATCGAGGAGGAATTTTTACAGCAATAAGGCAACAAGAAAAGATACTTAATATTTGTGAATCAACAAGCAAGAAAAAAAGAACCTTCCATTTCCCCCCCTGAAAAGACAAATACTCTTGATGCTCACATTTAACATTTTTATACTGGCATGGCCTATGGTTCTGACTACTGAGAGCAATCCAAGCCTAAACCCTGTATTTACGGAGCCCCAAAACAACAGGCGAGGGAGAGAGGTGGAACACAGCACAATCACCTATTCAGATCAGGTACTAATGAAGAATTCCATCTATCCTGAAATTTAATTAAAACCCCAAAGACTTCAGATGAGATGCGATTTGAAAGAGCCTGGGGCTGGTACACAAGCACTTGGTGGCGAAGGGAATCACACTGAAAGTTGATATCGTAATTGGTCCTGATGTATTTCTGCATTGCCTTTGCGGGAGCGTGGGACTCATAGCTGTATACAGGGTCTCGATGGAGTACCTGCTCATTGAAAATGCCATCACTCAAGCACTGCAGATCTGCATGAAATTAGAGAGCAACTAAGGCCTGATTGCAGGGGAAGAGAGGCACAATTGTTAAATGCATATATTAAAGTCATTTTTTTTCCTGTGTAGGTGTGCTTCTGTGTCTAAATGAGAGCTTCTGAAAATCTTTCAGTTAAAATGCGATGAGCATCTCAGTGTGACAAAGGAGCAGCCCGCAATTGTTTTGAAAACAAATTTCTGTTTACGATCTCAAAAATGAGTCGTCGGGCTACGATATTATTTATTTCCTCGAAACGAAACCACGGTTGGCAATCAAATATTCATTTTGTTTGCTTTTGTTTTCTTGTTTTCCTCTGCATCTTTAGTCGTTCGCCTCGCCGAAGCTACCGGTTGAAAGGACACTAATTGTCCATTTTTGGGGGGTGCTTTCATTTCACTCACAGTAGGTGACTGATCAAGCCAACAATAAGCTCATTCAAACTTTACCACCATTCACATGTTCTCATTAAAAAAAAAAAAAAAAAAACTTCCTGTCTGAAAATGTCAAGAGTGGAATTCGATCAGTTTCAAAGAATGTGCCAAGAATCATGGAAAAGCTTGCCAAGACTAACACGCGTGGTAAGAGCTGCCACAGATTACTGAACCAAGTTACAGCTCTGTGTTCTGTTCTCTCTCCTTTCACTCACCCACTCACTCACTTTTCCTCTGCTCTTGCTCTCTTCCTCGCACACTCGCTCTCGCTCTCTCTCTCAGCCATAAAATACTTCATTATAACACACTGAGCCAGTGAGTGTAAGTGATGTAACTGACAATTAAGAGTGAAAGCCTGATCCCAGTCATGGCTCTGCAAATATTTATCCATGACAGACCTCCTTGCAGGGCGGGGTGGTGAAAGCCAGGGAGCGGGAGACTCCCAGTGGTCTGCGGCTCACTGAAGTACGCCTGGAGCCATTCAACGCAGCGCTGCAACTCAGGGCTCGTTTCTGCCAGGCTATCGTTGACCACACAGCTCAGGGGGCCCCCGCTGCTCCTGTGAGGGATATAAGGCAGGATGGGGAGGTGAGGTGGGGATCAGAGGAGCAATCATAATACCCAATTCTTGCTTGAACAGTGCTAAATATGTCACAAGAGTGTAATAACATGCCACGAGTGACAAAGATGCAAGATGACATAATTTGCTGAGTGGAACTGAAGTTGTAAATTAAGACGTGTTTAAAATCTGAACTTGTACATTTTTGCATGTCGCTCGGCTTTGACGGATACCAGAGCTTTGGAAGACAGAATAAACCTCAGGAAGATAAAAAGGCAGAATCCAGAATTTTCTCAAGAGTAGATATAATAGAGTACGAAAGGGAAAAAAAGACAAAAAAACAACCGTCAGGTCATAAGAAACCGCTAACAGTTCGTTTCAAACTACTTTAAGGGAGAAAAAACGGTTTCTTAAAACAGAAAAGTAGCAGACAAAAGTTAAGAGCACAGCATTAACAACAGTTTCAACTCTGCTTGGGTCTAGTTTATAGTTCATGACAAGAATAAATGGATTTTTTTGGCCAGAGCGATGTTGGCCAGAAAAGCGCCGCACTTGGACATGCATCTTAGCTTGAGTAGATGCTTGGAGGAATTTGCCGACGGTTGAGTTGGCATCACTTAACAGCTGAATTTCTCTCTGCTGCTGACCACCCCCCAGGTCAATGCAAGCAGACTGACCCATATTTGACACTTAAAGACCCTACTGGGAAAGTCCTCTCTTAGCATGTGCATTACTCCAAAGTGGACCTCAAGCTGTGTTGTGGATCTAAAGCAGGCCCGCCAATTCCATTAACTGGTGTACAGGACTTATAAATAAATAATACCACCATTTAAGTGCCCCCTTTTTTCAAAATTGGCTTGTCCTGTACGGTATTAATAATAGACATTTACTTTGTTAAACACACAGACCGTCTCTCTCCTGCACGCCGTAACAGCGCGGCCCTAAAGTGTTTTTACACTTGTGCAGGTCACAGTTTGAGCTGCGTTTTATATTGGACACGTGAAGCTGAGGTTTACTGGAGTGTTATGACTGAGCAGGTCAGTTTTCAGAGAAACCACTCTGCTTGCTAGTTTGTGGCTGTGTGATAAAAATCTCCCGGGTGCCGTTTAACAGTGGGTGTAAATACAGTAAAAGGTGTAAATACTCTCATTTCTAAATAAACCACACAGCAGTTTATAGTTGAGTGGTGAAAACTTGGAAACCCACCAGCGGGTTCTGTGCTGAGACCCGCTCAAACAATGGCCATGGCTCATGGCAATCTCTGTCGGCATGGGTGAGTGCCCAGCCAGCCCCTACTTGTCATTGTCTCTCCTTTCTATCCCCTCCCTCCCCTCCCTCCCCCAGCTCTCCCTCCTCATTTCCCCCTCTCTATTGCTCTATCCTCCCACTCCAGCTCTTTTGGCTCCCCACCACCTACACCCCGACATACACACACACACCATCCCCCAACTTCTCTTTCTCTCAGCAAGGATCTTCAGGCCACTGTTCCCTCTCTACACACCCTCAACCCCCCCCCCACAACACGCATCCTCACACCACCACCTCCTCTGCCCCTCCACACCCTCTCTTTCTCTCCGAGAGGATGTTCCAGCCGCTGCACACTGACAGCTCGGGGATATTGTGTGTGGAAATGTTCCTGTTGGACCCGCAGGCCCTTACAATCTACCGGACAAAGGCTAGTGCACCTTTGCTTAAGGCTTGGCACCTTTGACCTTGTGCTTACACTTCAGACTTGTCACTGTGGCTAATTTTCCTCTCCTCCCAGCTTACGGATGCGCCCGTTTTTAAAAGGTGTTTGACTGATACAACATTGACAGTAGTAAAAGTTAATGCAATGCAGTACATGTTATGGCTGGCAAACAACAAGGAAATAAATAAATAAAAGGGGGGGAACAACATCAGTTGAGCTGAAGTCTGTCACCTCTAGGTGCAATGGGGGATTGTTTTTAAAAGAGCATGTGGGCAGTGGAGATGTAGCACTTGTGCTTGCAACATTTCCAGCCGCTTCAGTGAATCAGAAATCAGGCAGCATCATGTGATCTTTATGGAGTCCAGACTGGCACATTAGAAGCTGTGCCCTTCAAATGAGAGATTAGAGATGTCTAATAAATGTCGGACTAATTACAACAAAACTCTCCAAGGGGAAACAATCTTTATATTGTACTAAAGTAACTGCCAACGCTCTATGAAAACCAAGAATTATAATTAGCAGTGATTATAAAGAGTATTTTAATAAACGTGTGTAGCGAGTGTGTTGACGTTAGAACAAACAATTCAAATTGGGTTAAAGAAGAATTGTTATTTTATTATCTTTTGACTACATAAATCATATTTTTTTCCATGTCCTTCAGCCATTTACTATTTCATCACAGGTAAAGAAATCAGAAACTAATTCCAAACTAGCCGAGGATCTGCTGCACTAAAAGAATATTTCCCTTGATAGAAGATTGCGATTTGAGAAATTTTCTAATATTGTGCTCCTGTCACAATCAATTTCCAATTACCATAAATCATTGTTGCGTAAAGTGGGACTCATTTGGAGTTCTACCCGTTTTCCAACTCTAATATAAAGAATGAATTGAGCATTTATACAATGTTGGAGGCTATTTTGTTCATCCTGGAAGAAACAATCAAAGGAGACAAAGGGGAAAAAAAAAGAAAAGAATAGCTGACATTAAATTAGTCTTTTTCTGTATCTCTAGTTGCACAAGACTTCAGTAAGACTTTTTCTATCAGCTGCAGACGTAAGAATGAAACAGGTTAACCACAGAATCTAATTGAAAGGAATCTGGCGAAGGGTGTAATGGTATATTGCACTAAAAGGGGAAAAACTCAGAACTCATGCCTCCATCCTGTGAAGCGTGATGGCGCTCATCCTGACTCGATCGGCTGTCACTTTTGACACAGCCTGCCAGAGTTCTCCTTCACCGATCATGGGTAACATGGCGGGTCAGAGGATGAAATAGAAAAGGCCAAGAGCAGTCCAATATTTTCCTCAGCCTTATAGCTGCAGATACTTAACTCAGAGACGTCAAAGACTCAAGAGAGCATGAAAAAAGCCTAAAATGACTGTCTAAAAAGGGAAAAAAATACAGCATGTCTCTATGAATGTCAAGATCCTGATGGTCTCTGAGCCAAAGGCTGTGATACAATTGTAAGCCACTTGCTCAATGCAGCTCGTTCAACCATCGGAAGATCATTCAGATGCCTATCTAGGCAGTGCAGCACTAAACTCAAGAGCTTTTGGAGTGGGAAGCTGTTAGGAATGCTTCCTACTCTGTTCTGGGGTGCACGTTTTGTGCTCCGCTGTTTCAAAATAAAAACAACTGGGCCGGATAAACTGCTCTCTAGATATCCTGCAACTCTTATTAGTGAATGTCCGCCAAAGAGGCTGCAACACTCAATCCAATACATAAAGGTGGTGGTAAAATACTGCAGAGTAGGCAACAAAGCACACAACAATTAGGTCTTCTCCCAACGGCTAGCCACAGGAGTCAGTGAAGGCATGTATTACCAGAGCCTTAACTCTTACTCCATTATGTAGTGTATCCACACCCCGACGCCGCAATGTTTATCTACAACAGACTACTGAGCAGTTTCAAATAGCGTTTTTAGCCTCTATTCTCAAGTGCCACAGTAAGAGACTCCAATTACCCGAATGGTAAGGAGCCAGTGAGGGAGGCATAAAGTACATTAGGGATCCCCTGTAACTGCAGGGACCTTTTAGAGCCTCAACTGAAGAGGGCCGGGAGACTGGGGGGACAGTGACCCTGCATGGATAGCCTCTGTCAAAATTTGACCACGTCAAGCACAAAGGCATTATGGGAATCCAGTGTCACCAAGTCCTAATTACTGTCTGTGTTCAGAGCAAATTACTGCCTTGTTCCTCTGATTAGCGAGGAGGCTAATCTTCACCTGTGTACGCCAGCACTGCTGAGGGCCCTTGAGTGTTAGCGCTTCGTCTTCTGTAATTTATTTTTAAATCAGTGCCCGCTCCCAAGAGTTTTGAGTGTTTTGTTGTGAACCGCTTACCATGATCCCCACCACCGCCCCCTCACCCCTAAATCCTTGACTAAATCCTTGTTTGGTGCCGCAGGAAGATAAGCAAGAACAACACTTGGGCATAATTGACTCGTACTCCTCTCCAAGATGTCAGAGCGGAATCATCTCTCTGCATATTGCCTTAGTATGTCACACACTGTACACTTCTGCATGTTGCAGATATAGAATCCAATCAAGTTCTAAAACAAACTAGCGCAACCCTTATGCTGGAAAAAGTTCCCGGTCGACAGCAGGGAAAGGGGAGGGAAACAAAAAAACTGCAGGAGCTGCTTTTAGCTGCATCTCCACAGTGAGCAGCAACTCTCATTCAACTCAAAACCTCACCCTGGAGGCTCCGCTTTAGAAACCACAACATTTGCAGATTTTCATCTGAGTGAATGTCAGTGTCTCGTCTGTGTGGGGCGGTTTACAGGTAGTGTGTTACACAGGTGTTGGTTTACACAGGAAATGGCACATGCAGCCTGATTGGGACGGTCCCGGGAGACGGAGGCATAAACATAGAGCACAGATGGGTCCAAGGGCCAGTGGGAGCAGCACCTTAATGAATACGCAGCTGAGTACTACACTTCACAACATGCAAAACAATATTCTAAGGCCGCAGCAAAAAATAGAACAAAAATCATCAGAATATCATTACACAATGAATTATTCATACCGTTTCTAAAGGGACTCCGTCAAAAAATCTCTCCTTGCTTTATTGATGATTTCATTCAATATCTCAGCAGTTCATGGTTTGTATGACAAAGCATTTTAGTTACAAATGTAAGCAGTTTATTTAGCACACAGCAGTGTCTATATATATGTATGTATGTATATATCTACATATCAAGCAAAATTATAATTTAAATGAACAAAATCCTACGTTAGATGAAATACACCATAGATGGAGAAGCGAAGAGAAAAATTACAGTGGAATAAAAAGAGTTGTTATATTTCCCGGTGTGTGAGCACATCATGTAAACAGGCCCCTCAGAATAAGGAACACATTTGCCATACTGCTATTCAGCGTGAACCAGGACATTGATTCACAACACTACATGAGTGTGAGAAGAAAAAAAAAACAAAAAACGATAAATGCATCACCTCAGATATTTCACACTAGCGTTGGTAGTGTGTAAAAGCTGTTGTGACAGCTTGGGTATTAGGGATAGATAGATGGAAAATGTCTGGATGCTTATGAATGCCAATGTGAGTGGGGTGGCAGATTTGACACAAAAACACTCCACCTCAGAACAATTAGGCTGTTCTCAGGCCCCATCCAGTGTTGTCAGTGATAATGGAAAGCTGTGAGGATAACTGGTGATAAATAGACTTTAACACCCTCCTCCTTAAGAGCAATGCAGTCCTGCAGTCCTCTCATATGCTTAACTAATCATGACCATGGCCAGCAAATTCATACAAAAGACTAATTACTGTTGTACTTCACTTCAGTCTCAAAGGCCTCTTATATAAGGACTTGGGGGTTCTCTTGCCTCTTTTCTCCTCTTGATGGGTATTTTTTTACAAGTAGGCCTCATGCTAGACAAAAGCGTTTAAAAATCGGTGATTGCTTTCATCCGCTTTAATTACATTCAGAAATGGCATTTCTGCCACATAATACACCCCTATTGTTTCAGAATTATCTGGCTTGGGGAGTAAAATCTACAATATTTGACGATGCTCCCGAGCTAAATCGCCTCTTGAAATTGAAATATGCAGCCGAAATACAAAATAAAAAGCCAGCCTTTGCTGCTGATATACTGGAAGCTCCTTGGCTTTCTCCAGAATGCTATTATTATGCATATCCAGGTAGAAAGTTAATTAACCCAAAGCTTAAGCTAATTATGGTAGCAGAATGCTATCAACCAAACGCTTTCAGTCAGACAGCTGTCCAGAATTTCATTTGCTAATCATTTGTCTTTTGCCGGAGCATATGGTACATTTCCCCGCTATCACAGCAACAACAAACAGATGAAAATCATTAACTAAAAACAATGTGCAATGTGAAAAATCAGACACAGATTTATAAGGCTTTGTGTCAGAGAAAAAAAACGGGGGGGGGGATTTATGGCCTGGGAAGTATAATGATAATTTTTGGTTTTAGCCACTTAGGATTTTAGGCAGATCACGTGACCCGAGTGTGCTGGGAATTCAGACGCACAAATATATTGTTTATATCTATATGCAAATGAGACAGAAGTGTTTATCCGTGTAAAATTAATTACAATTTTCTATAGGAGCATATGCGAAAAGATCTTGTTCCTAACAATTTTTAGCTCCTAGCACATTTTGTGCATGTTTTTACCAACACAATATTTTTTGTTGTTAAAAGTAGAAATCCCTCAGCTCTGAATTAAATCAATTATTTTCCAAAAAATGTTTCATGCATTATTTCTGTTTTTTTTTTCTTTTTTCATAAAAACACATCACACTGGCTGTTAAAGGGTGATTGATATCAGCATTGCCTTGCAACATTATCAGGCAATAAAGGCTACTCAGGTTCTAATGCAACATGTCATACACAGGCTCCTGTAGTACATTTCTATTGAGGACCTCACAAGCTAAATTGCTTTTTTCCTGCTCCCCCACATCTCAGCCAGCTTGACAGACAAATTGATCAAAGCATTGTAAAATAATATGCTCACAAAATGTCTCGGGGCAGGAGTCCAGCCCTTTTTTTTCATTTTTCACCCTAATAAAAAAGTGCTCTATGATTTCCTCTGTATTATGTGTCTGTGCTCTGTGTGAAAGAGGCAAGAAGCATCATATTTCAGATAATAGTAATCTCCTGTAAACAAAATGCGTATCATTTTTCTGTGAACGCTGAGGCCATGCTAAAAACTAAAGGGGGGGAAAACTGGTTAACAGGGAGGCTGGTGCGTAGGGCCCCAACAGGGGTTGTTGAGATGTAATGAATTTGTTCATCTGATGGTGCCTTCAGGGCTGTCGTTAGACTGGCAGAGGAGGTTGATTTCAGGAAATGTTCCTAAGATCAGTTAGGAAGCAAAAGGGGCTTGAGACGTTTCTATTAGAAAGAGCTGACGGTCATGGTGTGTAAGCAATACTTCAAGGGCGTTTATGTAGCTATAATGGCATTTATCAATAACTATCTATCAATGCCACAAATGCTTCTGTTGCTGGCCCAGCTGTTCAATGCCAAGCAATAGTGAAGTCTGAGAAACGCAGGAGGCAAACGCGGCCGTGTAAGCCTTCAAAGCTCTGGCTCGTTGGCAAATATCTGCTATAGGTCTGAGTTTATGCTATGAATGGACATTATCTATTTCCCATATCTAAAATATGCTCTTAGAGATCATTTATCACAGTGACTTTCTAAGCCTGTACCACAACACATCCGAAGCTGGAAAGAGCCTTGTTTAGTATGTCATAAATAAATCAATAGAAATGGCTGATCTGAACTATTACTGCTACAGGCGGGCTTTGGTGAGATCTACATGTAAAGCCGGTTGCAAAGATAAGCCTGTATTTTGTCACTTTATCTCGCCTCCCTTAATGCCTGTTTACATTGCGTTACTACATATATCTAAGGTGGCTCTAGTTTCCCCGTCCTGTGACAATAACAATATATTCAACCGGTTGAGATAAAATCTAAACATTTTTACTAGTAATTTTTTCTTGGGTGGGGGTGGTGGGAGGCTCACACCTTTGCAAACATACAGCGATGTGATCAGAGCTTCACTTATGACCGACATAGCAAATGATATTAAAGTGAGAAATGATCTAGTGATGCGAATCATTAAATTCATTTGCATATTCCTACTGAACCTGAACACACAAATTAAACCCTGTTCACAAGGAGACGGAGAAAGGTGCTTGTGCATGGTTACAGGACATCTTCCATAATCAAAATTCCATATTATTAATTTTCTCACTTCAACTCATTAACAACAAGTGGAATGTTTTTTACTGCTTGATGAATTTTAGGAAATAGCAGACAGTCGAGAAGGAAACACATGTTGAGGTATAATATACAAGGTCATTAATGGGTTTCCATAAATTAGAATTTGAACATACATTTTCAAAAGGATAACTTCCTATCCGGGTGCATTTGGAAATCGTTTAATTTCCCCGACCATTCAAGTTTATCAAATGCGAATCTGCGATACATGGATATTTAATTTCAATCTAATCAAAACTAATCTGAGCTGTAGGATATGGACCTGTAAAAATAAGGAAGAGGCACTTATTAATGCTGCCTTTAATCAGTTTCAATCGCTTCAGTAAGACTGTCAACGTTCCTGACACTTTTGAGGGATGGGCAGGCCCAGAAATGCAATCACATATTACATTTCTGAGTGTCAGTCGACACTCAGAACTACTGCATACAACTTGAAGGAAACATAAATAAACAGGAGAGAACAGTCCATGCTCCCCGTGGCCTTTGCTGACCCTACAGACATCAGTTCTAATCAACTCCCTTGTGGGTAATAAACAAGTTATTTTTCTGAAATTTCAAATATACTGCAGGAAGAATCACAACCACATGCCATCAGAAATCTAATTTCAAGCCCAACTGTATTCTAGTGCCCCTCATATTTCTAGTGCCTGCTCATATTTGCCCAACTTTCTCCAGGATATTTCTTGTGGGATCTACAAAAATGCCCTGCTTCCAATGAGGAATGGTGGCACTCCATCACAGGAGTGGATTCTGTCTGCCTGTAAATTTCACACCTTTGTTTATCACGTCACCAGCCCGGCTGTTGTACAGTACCTTTCAGCAGGTGCGACATCCATTAGGATCTGGATGGTGTGCACACCATTCTCACATCCACTGACTTGGATCGTCCCCAGGGGGCTCAGCAATGAGATGGTCTTCTGAGTGCACTGGCTCTCCCCCTGCTTCTTCATCTTGCTGCCCTGCTGAGGAAGTACAAATTACACTACGTTCATTGACATATTCATGTGGCAACTTTCACAATTTCCCACACATATTTGCATTGAATGATCTATTGAAAACCTAGCGGGCCACCAACGAAAGATGACTTACATATTTGAACACCTTGCCTCCAAACAATGTCATGATGTGACTTGATCCCCACATTACTATCCAATATTTCTTCTGTGTATGGAAAAGAATACGCCTATCTAACCAATAAATCGCCCATTTTTTCCCCTCTTTCTGTTCTATATATCACATAAATGAGAAAAACAATGCAGTCTGTTCCCTTGTCTGGTGGGGGATTCCCAAGATAGCTCGACATTATTTTCAATCCGTCATTTTTGGTTGATGGCCGGGATGTTTTTCTAGCATTAAATTTGTTCCTTAGGGTGCAACTCCGATGGGATTCTGGTTTCCAGCCCTTAACAACAGCAAAAACGTGCAGCTTTTCTGACGACTGAGATGGATACTGGCAATAACCAGACAGCAGTTCCTTTTTTATTTTTACTTTGAGGGAAGGAGAGATGATTGACTATGTTATATGTGAGTTTTTGAGAGATGGGGGTTATAATAAATAAAGGTCACATTGATTGTAAGTTTCAAACAAGTAACCTTTCCTTCCCAGAACGATGATCTGAAAAGTTTAAAGTGCACAAATGCAATATCTCCATTTTTGCTTTCAATATTACACATACCACGTGTTTTTAAATGGTTAACTCACACGTGTGTGTACATTGATGGGAGCTGTGCACTGCTTTGACTAGACTTTATTTTCATTATGAATTATTATTTGTTGCATTTAATTAAAATAAAAATGACACATGACAATTAAAGTTTCAAGACAGACTATAAAGAGGGAATGATATTAAAAAAGGAATAACATTTTTTTTAATGACTAACTAATTGTTTTAATTTTTGCAGGCCTAGCATACTGACAGATGTGAAACTCTTTCTCTGCTAAACTAACTTTTATAACATTTTTAAGTCCCATAATCAAATTTTCAATGCTCACCACGTGAAATCTTGTGCACTAGTTATTTAAGGAAGCAACAAAACAAACTACAGATGAAACAATTAACCACAACTGGTAACTACTTCAATAATTAATCCTTTTATTTGATTTTTTTTTTTTTTACTAAAAATAAAAGTATTCAACAATCCAGCTTCTCAAATTAAGAGCACTTTCTTCTTTCCTTTGTCTTCATTGCTCGTAAACTGAATTTTGGGGAGCTGTGGAGTGGAGAAAATGACACCTTGAGCTTCAGAAAATTACAGACTGTTTAATAAAACAATAATCACAAGCTGTAGCCCTTAAACAAAGCAAAACAAAAACACTTCACTGCTCATTGCACACTCTACTTTTAATTTAAGAATGGATATCTTTTATTTTTAGATTACTCCCGTATCCACCCCCCCATCCGCACTTCACACACGCATACTACCAACACCACCACCACCACCACATCTGTCATGGTATGTGATCACAAATGCGTCTGCTTCAACTTTCTTGTTTCTACTCTTGCAGCTCTCACTGTATTCATCAGGGGTTTGCCTGAACTGACAATAAAGGCGAGAAATTTTCTGAGCCAAACAATGGTACAGTGCACTTTGGATAAGCGCTGCACACACTCCGTGCCATTTAGCAAGATGGTAATAGACTCATAGATAGAATAATGGACTTTGGCAATAATGGCCTTGGCTAATAGTCTGCGCTGATTAAAAATAATGCTATCATGTTTGTTCTGTGCCGTTTTCGGTGCAGTAGAGTAGTCTAAGTGAGTGCCTGGGTGTTTACCCAGCTCTTCACGGTGAGGAACAACAAACAATAAGCAGATTGTGTTGTTAAAAAGAAAAAAAAAATCACTGGCGGCATCCTCATGCTCGTCAATCATTTGACTCGTTTCTCATTAGACTAGTTCCTGGTCAAACCTGCGTGATTAATTGAGTAGAAAGCGCCCCGTGACTGCGCAGGTGTAAAAATGCAACATGTGTCCTTAATGTGCTGTTTCAGATGACGGCTCCTTGGGTGAGTATCTGTTTTAATGTAAAAATATACCTATCATAATAATGAAATAAACAAGCGAGAGTTCGTGTCTGAAAGGCGTATTAGCAAACGCTAGCCCTCGTTAGCTTAAGCGTACGCGTACTTTCAGCTTTGTGTATGTTGTTAGCTTGTGTTAGAGAAAGTTTAACGCTGTAAATTAACGCCGGTGCTTACAAATTTAACCGTGTGCATCCAAACGGTGTCTCTGCGATGCCCACTCCTCTTCCCCCCCTCTGCAAAACACATGTCAAAGCAGAACTCTTCCTGTTTCTCAAGGCAGCGTGGTCAAGCCGACCAATCACGAGAGGCAAAAGTCCGCTCTCGCTCTGTAATTGGTCCAGAGAAAGTCTCCGCTCCTCCCCTTTGCCAGGGACAGACTTAAGAAGAAGGCTTTTCTAATAGGTCTCAAGTTGGGATTTGGGGTCCTTCAGGGGGTCCCCAGTACGCCGAAGACTAGTAATGGTAGTGATTTAGATATTTGATTTGCTTGATGTTTTTACAGCAGGAAAAAATATGATAATGCATATTTTGAGCATTAATTTCAAACACTGTTATCTTTCCACTTATTGCTGAGACATTTATCCAATTCTGCATCTCCTGTGACAGCTTCTCAGTGAGGTCTTTAGGGTCTCAAGCGTAATGTTTGTGGATAAAAAAACACCTATGTGACTGCAGCAACCAATAACACCTTATGTATTACCAACTAATAAAGTCAGTATTATGAACAACACATGGGGCAGCACTCAATCCTTTTATTAGAGTTTTTATGCCGTTTAAAGGAGAGGGGGGGGGTTGCCTTATGTTGCCTGGAGCAGTCATAGATTAAGTGGAAGCTTATATTTCAGTCATTATGACCAAGTGTGTGGCATCAGTCACGCATTTTTCTTTTCTTCTGTCTGTTGTCCTTTGCAGCTTTATTTTTTTGTTTCTGTGATGCCTTCAGCTCTCCGCATGCCTCCGTTTGGAATGTGTAGGCCGGCATGGGCCTGTGGCCCACACCCCATCTCAGCGGTGAGGGTGGGAGCGGGGGAGAAAACGCCACCCCTGCAGAGACCATTTTGAAATCTGTGAGGATTTCCGTGCCATCTGGACCCGCTGCCAGTCTGCCCCAGATAGTAAGGGTTGGCAACGGTACCCGACGGTGCAATATGGCTCTCTCTTTAATGAACTACTAACTGTCCCCCGTTTTAATTGATGTGACATTTGAGCCATTTATCTCTGACATTTCAATGAAGGATGATTCTCAGCCTTGCCATTTACTTTTTTGTGCTATTTTCTAAGAGTCATTTGCATTTTTCTGCTCTAAACCTGCTTTTTGTCTCTCATTAGCTAATTAGAGAGCAACATGCACGATTAATAAAAATGAACATAACCTAGTTTGATATAGGCTTGATGAGGGATAATCAGAAAATCAGTGTTTTCTTAATATTCATCAAAAATGATGTGAGGGGCTACCTGTGGTAAAAGGTGACTTCGATAAAGCCTTGTAACCTTTAACCACATACCAACATGTAGCCTACAGTGTGGGACAACTTATGTTCGCAGCATGGGGAGAATCAAGCTCAATTAATCAGCATATGATTGCAGTAAGCAGCCCCCTCTGCTGGATCTTCTGAGCCATACTGTTTGAAATCATTTTAATGCTGCATTCAGTGGCCAGACAATTATCATATGTGGCAGCCACTAAAGCCGTTCCGTGTTTGCTTTATTGCATTTACTAAAAATGACAGAAATGTGCAATTTTAAATATTTTCTAAGACAGATTTTATTATTTATTAATTTTTTTGTAATGCAATTTTTGTTGTGTGCTAATTTTAATTACCACCGGCTCATCAAGGCTGCTTTACACATTTTACAATCATATACATTTATTATGAGGTGTGCAAAAATTCTAATGTTTAAAAACAGGAAGCATATTTGCCATTATGTGTTGAAATAAACAACCTAAAGTGCGTGTGAGTGACATAACAACTCGGTATACTAAAGGCTCCAGGCTCAATTGTTTTCCATAATGACACATATTTTCAATCTTTTAAAGATATCCTTTAAAAACACGGCTCCACTGATGACGACTGTTCCTTTGATTGTGAGCGGCATCATTGCCAAGGTGTGGTGCCCTGTCTGTGTTGGCAGCCGGGCTGATATCTTTTGTTTGGGACTCAAAGAGCTCCTTTTCCTGTTCAGTTTCCCTCACTATTTTTGTTTGTGTGAGGTGTTGACGGACTTATACGTTGCACAGCTTCCTTTTAGTGTACAGCACCAGATGTTTGCGAGAATAACAGCCCTAACCTTTTTTTGTAATAATGACAGCGATTGTTTATTAGCAGTTTTGTCCATCCGGTAATGTATGATTGTCATAGCTCAGTCATATACTGGCAGTCTGTGTCTTGCTCTCTTTTCCTGTGTTTGCAGCCTCGCTCGCATGTTGGCGTGGGAGGAGTTGAAGTCATTTATGATATCAGATATTCTTTAGGAGAACAGGAAAGTCCTGACAGACTGAACAACCGCCATCGTCTCACACAGTGGTGTGTGTGAGTGTGCATTTTAATCAGGAAAAATGGCTCTGTGGGCCTCACATTGCACATTGAGGAGGTCTTTTGTGTACCAAGTGTACAGTAGATGTGTCTATTCCTCTAAATCAAACCACGAAGCAGACGCAGAAAAAAAAAAGAAGCAACCTGTTATTTTGTTCTTTTTACTCTGACACTTTGTTATTCCACTCCTCTCAAAAGAATTAGCCTGATGATCATATAAGCAATTCCACGGCCACAAAGAGGTGACAAAATTTCCTTGTATCCTCTTGTGTCCACTTATTTAGTGTACCTGTGTGCCTCTGTCCCTCCATCTCTCGTATGATGTGGCTTCTCTATTTTACTGTTGACATAGTGCTATGAATGTCTGAGCATTTTGCAAATGAAGAGGCTTGAACTCCTGACAGGCAGTGTCGCCGGCACCATGACACACTGGCCCGCACATGCTGTGCGGCATAATGATGACATTAGGATCCAGTGATAATATCAGGACGCACTTCAGATAAATGACTGATAAACCAGGGGTTGTGCCTCTCGTATTACACGCTTGACAGAGCAGCTAATCAGTGTCCAAGTGACTGCTATTACATAAATCATGAGCTCGACTTTGATGCATATTCCATCGGTGTTCCCTATTCATCACGTCATCTGGGGGAGACTCTCTGGATGACTGGCTGCCGGGCCAACACACATTTTAAGAGCATATTATGTTTTCATTAGAATTTGATATGATCCATTCCAGTGTTGATTTGATTTTACGTGCTCGGGTCATTTGATAGGAAGCTACCGAGGAGTGGGAGTGTATTGTTACACTCTGTAAGCTGTTTTGTGTTGCTTTTACTGGTCACATTTATCGTAAAAAATGCCCGAAGGTATGCAGCACTGTTTCCTCATATAATTAAATTTGATTATAAAAATAATTTTTGTATGTATTTTTTTATTTTTAGCAGACTTGGTCACTTTTGCAAAGCTGTTTTATAATATGGATTTGAATAATATTAACCTATAAGCCGAGTATCATTGTTTTATTTAGGAATAAACTCCAAATACATTCAAAGATGAAGTTGGAGGGGAGATCTGGGGTGTTGAAGTGAGTCACCATGTATGTTTTATTCTCCAGTATTGGGGTCAGAGAATGTGAAGGTGGGGGTGTTAATTTAATCCCCATTCTTACCCAGAGCATGGCCACACTCTCTAAGGAGCTTTATCTCTGACAACTGTGTCAAATTAGAGAGACCACGAGCCCCTCATAAAGAATATGTCTGTCAGACTACATTGTTCCTGGCCTCTGAAATATACGGCTGAGAGAGACAAAAATAGAAGATAACACCGTGGTCCCACTGTTGGACTCGAACATGATGAAATAATTTTCAAGCCATGTGATCCTGTCAGTGAGACAAACCACTAATAAAACTGATGTTCACATATTATTCTGTACCTTCTGCGCTTTGCTATTCATAGATTTCAATAAGCGTGGTCGTGTTAAATAAGAATACCTGTTCAGACATTATTACATTTAAAAAAAATCCTTTATGCTAATAAACTAGTTGAACGAAATTATTTAGAAAACTTTATTGGACACTAATTCATTGTAATTCAGCCTGGCCTTGTAAAATTGATGGGAGTGTTACATTCCATTAGGCATGGTACATAACTCTAGGTCAGTCCAGTCTAATAAGTGCCCATCATTTATCTCCCTGGTATCATCGCTGCACCACAGTCAAACATGTAAAACAACTCTTAATGTTCTCCCTAGTCCCCTATGGGTGTTTCTCCCTGTTATCATCATTGCCTCTATTCTAAGGGGACTTCCTCTGGAGACAACATTTTCATAGACCTTTGACCTAAACCATATTTTCCATTTGAATAGTCTGACTAGTGAATATTTACAAGCATGTTTAATGTATAATAGATCTCATCTGTAAGAATCAGGAGCCATTTTCTGCTCAGTCAGGTTCTGGTGTTGGCCTTGGCCCCTTGCTTGAGGTAATATTGACCCCTCTTAAAAACAAAATGACCTGTGCCTCATTTAGGCCAAGTAGTATGCATACGTATTGCACAATTCCTAAGGGCATACATGTTTATAACAAGGAAAGCTGGCGTCTCGAATGTAAACATCTTAGCACTGTAATATTATTGTATCAGTAAAGTCCCAGAAGGTGGTAGATTTAATAATGTGGGTGGATTATATAAGAGAGAGAAATAAAGCAGTAATTTGAAATTGTTAGGGGACCTTTTGTGTCAATGGTTATGGAGGCTAAGGGACAACTCCATTCCCTCAGGCCACTGTTAAAAAGGCAATGACTTTTCTTGTACATGCACAGCATTTTGGAATCTACATGCATTACTAGCACCACAGGCTTTTATCATGTGATTAGTAATACATAATACATTTGATTCTATTATCATGCATGGAAAAAAAAATGAATGAGAGTGGTGAAAGGAAGAACATGTTGATGAATAACGTTTGCAGTGAAGTGCTTGAATATACATTTGATAGTGAAACAGATCTCGGTTTGCTTCTCGGGTGCTTATACAACCACGGGGTTTTTAATCTCTTTCTCGCCGATGAAAGTCCCAGTAATTGCTATATTTCCCTTTTTGTTTCAAGGACCTTTGATGATCCCTTGGCTTGCATCAGAGGGCAAAGTCATTAGTGGAGAAATGAGCTCAAGTGAAGAGAAAGAGATTGCAGGGCTCCCAGCATGATTGGAAACTTTGCTTCACATTGCATCC